GGAAGGTGCCCTCGGCTGTAGAGGACTAGCCGAGGGCACCGAGTACTGGGGACCCCCTTGGCGCCGAGGGCTCCAGGTGCCGAGGGCTACTGATTTCCGCCATTTTTCTCCCAGTTTCTCAGTTTGCTTGAAATACCCGTTCTGTGAGAGTTTTGAGCCTTCGGCCAGGGGCCGAAGGCTCCCCAGTGCGCGCTGTGGGCTGCTAAGTGCTTGGGGGCGCCGTAATTTGGGCCTGCTGTGCTTCCTGGGTCGGTTGGGCCTTTATTGGTGTAGTAGGAGTCTGTGGGCCGGGGGTTCCCGGGCCATATACTCCATCACTAAGTTTGAATTTTAGTAATAGCCCTTTCAAAAACAAATATTTTATTAATAGCGAGTTAAATATACTAGTGGTCAAGTTATGTATTGACAAACTGCGAAGTAAATACGGAGTATGTTACGATTAAAACAAAATGAGGTAAGTGTATTACTAGTAGCATTACTTGAGGAAGTTTGTTTCAACAATCAACTCTATCTCTTTCATCAATTTTGCTGGTTTGTTGCTATGTACTCCCTCCGTCCCCTGTTATTGTCCCATTGCGGTTTATGATGCTTGACCGACGATAAAGCAAACAGATCCCTGTCCGCACTCAAATTATTTTTAGAAAAAGAAAATTACATATTCAGAAACTACATTAAAAGATTTACAAAGTCGCAAAAACCAGAATCAAATTTGATAAAAATTTGATACATAAAGTAAGAGATTAAGAGTGATAAAAATGAGATATTACGATAAATGAATGTGATATGCAGTGCTTTTGTAATCTTGTTAGTTGTTACAAGAAAAGTTCGCAATCTAACTTTGCGGGGGGGGGGGGGGGGGGGGGGGGGGCAGTAAAATAATTCCCTTTAATAATTTAAAGTCAGATGTTCAACAAAAACTAAACAGATGAAACAATGAAGTTGGATAGCAATGTTTATTGTGATTTGTAGGAGCTATTTTTTCTTTGTCTAAGTTTGGGGTGGAATATTTGTATATTAAATTAAATACTCCATTTCTGTAACGCCAAAAAGGAATAGTCATATGTGTAAATGGATGTTTTTACTTTGAACTGTAATTCCTGCCAGAGCAGACCAGACCAGACCAAACCAGTTCAGACTTGGATAGTTATAAAAATACAAAGAAACCAGACCAAACTTGGATAGTTATAAAAATACAAAGAAACCAGATCAGATCAGACCAGATCACACCAGAGTCCAGACCAACAAATTACAATCCAAGTAAAAACATCCATAGTCATAGTACTCCATATAATATACCTCCCGTCGTTTAGAAGTTTGTCAAATTTGACTCATGCACAAAATAACAAGGTAAAATTGTATGGTTGAAATTTGTAGAGGAGAAATAAATAACAGAAAACACAAATTATTTGATTAAAAGAAAGTGACAAAGCTTTTTGGACAAACCAAAAACTAAAGATGTCAAAGTTTTAAGCGACTAAGTGAGAAATGAACATAAATCAATGGGTAAAAGAAGGTGACGTCCACAACCTTGGTTCCCGTCGTATAGTTCCCCCGTTCCGTTAAAATTGATAAACGCTTTTTTTTTGTTCGTCCTACTAAGATTGTTCCTTACCAAATTTGATACTAGCCCTGTTCCATAAAGTAGTTCACTCCGATTTGGATCGGAGTAATAAAAAGATAAATGAGATAAAACTTTCCAAAAAAGGAAATGATAACTATTTGTTGGAACGATCGAAAAGGAGTAATATTTATGTGGTACGAATTTATTTATACTTTATTTTAATTTTTTCAATTCAATATCAATTATATAAATTCATTTTTTAATCACGCCAACATTAGGGGATGGAGGTACTAGTAAGTAGAACGCGTATACTGTACAGTCGGTTGTACAGTGATCACTGTACAGTCGGTGACAAAATTGTAATTTTTGTGAAAATCGCGGATTCTCCTAAATGAGCATTTATGCAACTGTGATGATTATCAATCCTGTTCTTTTGAGTATTAGGAGCCTAACGGTGAGAATCAGTGATCTCTGTTTCAAACCTTTATATATCACTTTTGGTTTATTATTTTTTCGTTTAGTACGATACATTTGAAATGTTCAACATTTTAAAATGAGCATACATAACTTACAAGTTAGTATCAAATAACTAAAAGGTTCATTTGTGTGTGCTCATTCTTTTTGGGCGTTATACTCATTTGAGTTTAACATAAAACTCATTTCATTTAAAATGAGTATTAAGCAAATATCAAATGAGTATACATAAATTACAAAATGAGCAGATCAGTAATTAACAGAGACGGAAAAATAGAGTGTGAAGAATATGAATCGCTCGCAGGGGTAGAGCCGTCTCTGCGTCGGCTAAGAATCTCAGTCGTGACTCGTGAGTTGCACTTGGAAGCTTGGCTATCGGCGGTCTGCGTTCATGAGTTGCACCAGACTTTCGATCTGCCGTCCTTCGTCGTCTTCGTTGGTGAGTTACAGGGCTAAATCACGAGTTGCAGGACTGACTCGCGGAGGTTTACTTACAAAAAAACCCAGCTGTACGGTGAGCACCGTACAGCCGGCCGTACGGTGAGCACCGTACAGCCGGCCGTACGGTGAGCACCGTACAGCCGGCCGTACGGTGTATTTTACCCTAGTAAGTATGCTATCAAAAATTTAAATTAAACATGATGGAGGTGTATGCATGTGTCATTATGTCACATTCATTTTCGATGACACACTTTCATTATTTAAGGAAATTTGATTCAGCACTCAACCTTTACCATTACACCAATTTTGGCGATTTGTTGCCATGTGCAAATGAGATGTTAAAATAAGAGAAAATCTCCTCATATTCGCCTCACCGGGAATCCCGTTTGGTTAAGCCCGTTGAGGTAGGGATGGACTGGGATGGGTCTGATCCGAGCCCAATATTGTTTAAGCCCGGGCCGTTATTGTATAGGTCAGGTCCCGTTCCGGGACCCGGCCCGTGGTATAAGGGCGGGCTTTGGGCTCGTCTTTTTGGGCCCGACTGTACAATTGTTTTAATTGAATGTCCAGTCCTATCCCGAAGTTCGACCTGACCTGGTACTCTTTGGGTTCGGTCCGACCCCGTACCGGTACAAATCCGGGCCTGAACTTCTTAAGCCCGAATCCCACCAAGTCCCATCCCGAAGCCCGTCCCGGTCCCATCCCAGTCTATCTGAACGTTGAGGTGTTTTTGTGTGACTTTTTTTAAATAAAAATCCTAAGAATGTTCATTAAGTAGTGCTTATTACTTTATTATGTCCATAAAATGTGTACACATATGTGCGTCATTGTTTGTGCACACAGTCAATGTGTACACTCAGCTCTCTAATTTTCTGTGTATGTAAACATCTCATGTAGCATTGTCTGTGTACACATACAAATATTTAAAATTTGGTGTATAACGAGAATTGTTAGAATAAATAATATCCCTTCCGTCCTGCTAATATTGTCTCATTTTACTTTTTTAGAAAATCTCATTAAAATTGTCTCATATCAAATTAAGTAAAGTTTGTGTGACTTTGAATCATTCTTACGTTATGATTACTAAAAAAATGAAGTAATGCTATATACAAGTCCTGCCTATTGTATCATTCGAATCCATTAATGTCTTGTTTCGTTTAGGATGCTAATCTGATGTTCCATACCGATCTAAAATCGAAAAGGATCCATCATTCATGTGAATCATGGCATCAAAAAATTATCACGTCCTGTTATCTTGTTTTACCATCATTTTTAGCATTTTCCCAAATTATAGTCCAAGTTCAAAAAGTAAATAACACGAAGTATTCAATAGTACGTATGTTTTTTGGAAGGACAAATTCTGAATTGCAAAATTATACCTATAATAATTTACTAATAAAAATATAATACATACCGCCATTCATTAAAACTTTGTTATTCTTGATTTATCAGGTCAATGATGATAAAATTTGGATGATAATTTTAATTAGTATATATTTATAAAAATTATAAATTTGATATTTGATGGAGTATTTTTTTAAAAGTAGATGGGTAGTGATTAACCGATTAACTTTAATTACCTTTAAAATGCTAATATTTTTTATTAGACATAATCTTGTTTTGGTACATTTATATTGTCTCAAATTTTAAAGTTTGGATTTTAATGTGATAAGAGTAGAATGAAAGCTAATATAAAACATACAACAAAATGCACTTAAAGCCCTTTAGTAGCACTCAAATCAGCTTAATCGTTAATGGATCATCTACAATAATTTTAGTCAATTCTATCAGAAAACTATCTTCAATCATACTTATTTGGATTAGAAATTGACTTATACTATGGTAGATAAGATAAGCCAAATGAAGGTTACCAGACATGGTATGAACATTTTTACTCCGTATATCTTACTTCTCAAAGGTACGTTTCTGCCTAAATTCAAAAGAACAAATTTCAGTGCTATTTTTCCAATAATGAGTTTTTCCCAAACTCTAACCTAAATTCTGAAGTACTCAATTGGATCTTAATTGCATGATCAAGAATCAAATTGAGTATAAAAAACAGATAACTTCTTGAAGCAGTTTCCCCCCAAAAAGTAGATAACTAAATTAAATAATACGGAGTAGTGTAAAGTTGTAAACTCGATCTTAAGGAAAGAGGTTAACCCATAAAAGCCACCACAATAAACAAAGAATAACCCAGAAAAAACAGGTGGACTTAGCTCAACTCGCAGGGATCGAGTTCCACAAGGGTTAGGTTCCGATTTCGAAACTCGGCAACTGCGATGAGAGGTTACTATGCTGAAAAATGCATAGGACCTCTACAAGTACCGAGAACAGAACTCACTCTCTATCTGTCAGATTGTAATTATAGTCCAATTTACGTCCTTTCAACGTACCGTCCGGTTATTGTTGGAGACCATTAGAGATTGGCGTCATCCTTTTTTTCTTCTTAACAATAACCCATAAAAAAACAACAAAATGAAGTTACCAAAAATAAAGTTGAATTAACAACTCAAAGCATACTTTTCTTGAGCCTTTCCCCATCATAACCCCCTGCAACACCAAATTTTCAGCCATCATTTCTCAACCATTAATCCCCCCTTCCATTTCTCCATCTTTCTTCTTCTCCACATCTCTCCCCCCACAATCATAACCCCTTCTCTGATTCTTCACGTAAGCATCTCTCTTACCATTTCCTCTCTTCCTCAATCTCATCTTTCTCGTTATAAATATTTGCCCATATATGCTGCAGGTCGATCGGGATCTCCTCCTTGCGCCGAGCGATTGATTTTGATTTTATCCCCAATACCAAAAATCAACCGCTCTCGCGAAAATTCGATCTCTTAATCGTTCCGAGGAGAAATGGCCGAGGAGCAGAAATGTCACCAGGCGGGAGGAGGGCACCGGCTCTGCGCGAACAATTGCGGGTTTTTCGGAAGCAGCACGACTCTGAATCTGTGTTCGAAGTGCTACAAGGATCATTGCGTTAAGGAGCAGCAGATGGAAGAGGCTCACCTCGTGATGGAAGGATCGGCTCTCCCTCTCCCGGCCAAAAGATCATCGCAATCTTCTTCTTCTCCTTCGTCTTCTTCACCGTCTTCTTCTTCCTCTGTATTGCTGGCCTGTGAAAATTCATCGCCGAACGAGGTTCAGATCCAGGGTGGGACCGGATCAGCCGCGGTTGCGCCAGCTGGCCCGAGGCCGAACAGGTCTGCATGGGTGGAGCTAGCCGCCTAGCCGCCCCTCCCAAAATAGCCCCCTAGAAAAACTGTTTCACTAAACTCTCCCATCCTAAGAAAAATGATATGGTCTACACGTTTGGTTTTTCGTGTACACCTTTGATACACTTTTCATCTATGTAGACAGAATTGTATTACCGATAGTTCTGTCTACATAGACACGGCGGGTTTACACCAAAAAACGTACACATTTTTTATACACGCCATTTAAACGATCAACCGAATTGTCTTCGAAGAGAATTGCTTTTTGCATCGATAAAATGACGAGTACAAAAAAGGTATACAAACAACATTTTGCATTTCACTTTCCTTTTTATATAAGTATATATTACCACAATCCCATAAAATCATATCCCATAGAGGAATGAATTAATTTCCCACTTTTAGGATTTTGAGTTTTATGCTAATTAATCCATGTTTCTTGATAATTTGTGATCCTTTCCTTCATTTTTTTGAATTCTTTTTGACGTTTTATATTGAATGATATATAGACGAAAACAACAATCATTATCAATACGGAATCTATTCAAAGAGAATATAAAAGAGAGATACAAAATAATTGACCCTCCTAAGATTATATTCCAAAACCCAAGAAGATAAATAAGTTTTAATTATAAAACTTAATCAAGTTTTGATCCCGATACTAATTTTGTGGCCTTGCCACCGCAGATGTGGGACCTGCCGGAAGCGAATCGGGCTGACAGGGTTCAAGTGCAGGTGCGGGATAGCCTATTGCGGGACCCACAGGTACCCGGAGCAACACGGCTGCTCGTTCGATTACAAAGCTATGGGGAAGGAGGCGATAGCCAAGGCTAACCCAATTGTCAAGGCTGAGAAGCTTGACAGGATCTAATGGCTGAGGGAGGCATGGATCGGACGGTGTAGAGGTATGGCAGCTGGTCCAACTCGATGATGGTGATGGATCATGTGGAGTGTATGCGCTGTGGAGTTGGTTGATACTTGGTATGTGGTGGATGGGTGGGGGTGGGGCTTGGATTAATATGTTGCCTCATGGTATGTTGTAACCATCATCATCATGTACTAATTAATGTTGCTTCCAGTTATTGTAAGGACACTTTGTTCTTTCTTATCTGTCTTTTTATAATTTGTCTTTACCTTTCTAGATTATGTCAAAGTAGGGGGGGCGCACAAACGAGCATGGTTTTAAACGAATAGGTAGTAATACACGTTCGGACGGTTTAGAACGAATCCTAGTTTTAGAAACTCCAAAGGGGTGGGTGAGGCGGATCCGGAACCTCTTGCCTTAGAGCAAGTTAGAATGTTCCTCACTCATTTCCCTTTTTGAAATACATTTTGTAATCGATCTGAATTTTTCGATCCTTGTCTTTGTCACATGACTTAATATGCTTCTTGGTCATCCCATATTCGCGTGAAACCTCCAAGCTACACTTTTTCCCGCACCATTTGGAAGTTGCGTACCACATCTCGGTCCTCGGGTCCTTCTGCGTATAAAAATTATACGCAATAACGTCATATTGACTTTCCATCATGAAATACTAATCAATCGGAATCTTCGGCACAGGTAGAGCCACCTTCGGTCGATTCATCCATAAAGTTTTAGGATGAAGTGATGCCAATTTCTTGAGCTCTACAGGTCGCATTCAACCAATCATGGTAGCATATAAGCGTCTCAAGAGATTCTGCGCTCAACCTCGTTCTAGATTGCGTTAGGACATTGCCGATCGAACTAAATTCTTGTTCCACGGCAACTATTGAAATCGGCATTGATAGCACTTGTTTAGCCATCTTTGCTAAAACTGGGAACATTCTTTCTTTTTCCTTCCACCAGTTTAGAACGTCAAAATCATATCTTCTTCAAAATCAACATCATATGTTAAATACAAAAAAATCTCATTAATTGTGCTTTGTTGAGTAGCGGGAGTTGTTTTAGTTTTTTTAATAAAATTGGCAAATGTAGATTTCAAAATTGATTTTTTTTAGATGAAGATGTTTGTGTCGGGAGAGGGAGCGCGTTGTCATATTGTGCATGAAACTCATTAAATAATGAATAAAATATATCACTAACCCCATTGTATTCTTTTTTCGGATCAATTGCATTATCATCATACATTGGAAGAGGACAAAAAAAGCGGCATAATAATAGTTCAAATGTTCTTCTAAAGAACTATAATTAGTGTGGTATTCTTCTAAATACCACACTAATTAGCAGTTATGGTATGAGACTATAATAATCAGGTCCGATCCTAAGAAAATGGAGACTTTGTGCAACAATAAAAATTGGATTTTCCTTTCCAAGCTCCAACCCAACAAATTTCTTTGGAAACAATTACTACCGATTATTGAAATCTTCAACTAAATATGCGCTTGTTCACAAATTTTAAGTTAAAATTCAATTTACATTTAGAGTGAAATCATGGAACACTATAATTATAGTTTATAAACCTAATAACAAACTTGTGCGATTATACACGCTATACCAATTTCTTAATTGTTAATACAATTATTATCAATTGAATTACTTAATAACTACAATAAATAAACAAGTAACAACTAACAACAACCTAATTTGCAAATAAAAAGATAAAATTCAGAAAATCATACACCGTATGTGTTTTGGGGCTTGGCAAGTTACCGACTACCAAAGCGGCGAGGAAGTGAGGGGCTGAGGGCTGTAAGCCCGTGACCGGTGGGTCAGTGAGGGCATGAGGCCGACAGGGGTGAGGCGGTGATTCCTGGGGGGCGGTGGCGAATGGCGGGCTGGCAACAAAAGACAACAAGAGGCATCGTCGACTACTCGACTCAAGAGTCCGTCGAATCTCAAAGCCGTTTTGCATACAAAGTCGTTCTTTACTTCTCTCTATTTCCTTTTTCTTTGGACTTGGACTGATATGTCATACATAATACTAGCATTAATTTTTAAATTGTGGGCCCTCGAAAATTACGGGCCCTGTGCGAGTGGGCTGATCACACCTGGGCCGGCCCTGATAATAATGGGGCAGATCAAATTGAAAATAGGGCAATCTTAACGGGACAGAAGGAGTATATAATATATCTTATAATCTATGTACATATGTCAATGTCATTAAAAAAAATGTCAAGTTTCAGGTGGTGCAATCCCATAAAACTCTCATTACATTTCGGAAAAAGGAAGAATCATCATTAATCATTATTATACAGGTTGTTTTCATCAGTCACCACAAGGCAGATACCCTGCAAGTAAATAAATTTGATTAAAGATCCTGCTAATTTTCACTGCACATGAAGGCAAAAAAAAAAAATGCACCTCAAATGAGAAAATCACTCATGGGAGGCTCCAGTTAAGGCCGGGTTATCATCTTCATAGAACTCCTGTACTACCCCTTTAACCTCAGGCACATAGTGCATCAGCATGTTTTCAATCCCAGACTTAAGGGTAACAGAGGAACTAGGGCATCCACTGCATGCTCCTTGCATCCTCAATTTGACCATTCCAGTGTCTTCATCAAATCCTCTGTACTCAATATCCCCACCATCATCCTGCACAGCCGGGCGTATACGTGTCTCAAGAAGTTCCTTAATCATTGCAACAGTCTCTGAATCATCTTCTCGGATAGTTGTGTCCATGGTGGATGCAGTGTTTGAATCCAGAAAAAGCGGGTCCCCGGATGCATAGAAATCCATTATTGCTGCAAAAACTTCTGGTTTAAGCAAGTCCCAAGTTGCATCATCAGATTTTGTAACAGTTACAAAATCAGATCCGAAAAATACCCTAGTTATCCCTGCATGATGAGCAAAAATTGTCAACGAAGTCAGTTTAAGGACCTGTTCATCAAGACTTGAATGTTCTGGTTTGAACTAGTCTAATATGTTGGCGGATGGGTATTTTACTATTCTGTAGTATTTAGTGCCGGTCTTGTATAGCTTCTTTAAGTTAGCTTTTTTAAGTCTGGTCCAGTATTGAACTGAAATAAGTCCAAGTGAAGAAGTGCTAATTAGCCATATAGTTTACTTGTGAGAAATATGCATGAAATAATTAGTATTGCGATTTAGTACATAGGAGAAGAACTGTTCATACGTATATATGGAGTATGATATACGAGTATTTTTTATTAGTTTGGGATATGTAATTGGTATAAGCATGGTTGGATCTTGGGAATTGGGATACGGGCCATGTGGCACAGTGGCAGCATAGTTCTTGAAAAGGCCTAAAAATCTACCTCAGAAGGGTCTCGTCCTTGTCACAAATTTGTGATTAATTTCATTGAATTACTTGATTGTATTGACTACTATTGATTATAAATGATACTACTCTGTTCCCCTAGCATTGGTATAAGAGAAGGTGATGCAGTTATCAAGAAAAGTAAATTTATGTGATTGAAATTGAATTGCTACCAAATTTGATATGGGACAATCTTAGTGGAACAGATAAAAAAGGAAATATAGACAATCTTAGGGGGATGAAGAGATCAACATATTACATAATGACATAATACACGGCCCTGATTCAAAAACAATAACTATGTCATAGCCTAAACTATGACAGATTGTCCTACTAGAACAATATCCCAGTTATCTAACTAAAATATAGGAGTCTTAAACTGATCATTAATGTCCCTTTGCACTGGTTATCTACCACATATCCTTATATATAGTAGAACACAACAACTAATTTGCAATTTGACAAGGCAATCGGCATTATTGATTAGTAATACAAACTGCAGCACTATCACATATTACAACTTCATATTATAATGATATTCTTCCTAACGTTATAAAAGTACATGCCGAACTCACATAATCCCCGGTTAGGTACTACACTATCCATGACCGACTAGGTATTTCACGCTTAGGGCCCACCTAATACCACTTAGATCACATTTATCTACTGTGGTAAAAAATAAACTCCAACGACAGACATCAATCACAAGAATGATAAATTAATGTATGTAAGTTTGACAATTTCCAGGAAAACAACATATAATGTTGGCCTTGTCGGCCTTGTTGGGAGATAATAGTCACAACTTTAGTAAATAGTAATATGATGATTGAAAAGGATTACAGCCAAGGTTACAAATATAAAGAGAACAAGCTCACCGTCAATTCCAAACAGAGCCTTAGCAAGTGGTGACGTCATTGCAGAACGAGCATTTGGAAAATCTGAACTTCCAGTCTCCATAACTGGCTTTCCGGGGTAGAACATTAGTGACAATGGGTTGGGTGTTGATTGTGTTTGTATGAACATTGATCTCCTTTGGCCTGTCCATGGCAGTATCATTAGTTATCATTAGTTTACCCAGATGAAACTATGAAAGAATTGCCTTAGTACCCATGATTAAGGGTAGCCTGTTAAGGATCTATTTGACCCACACCGGAAAGTTATACAACAATAAAACAAAACACTATATAAGATTTTGAGCTACTCCTCCTATGAGGTTGATCTTTTAGGTTGTAACCTCAGATATTAACATGGTATGAGAGTCAATTCCGGTTGTGGTTTAACTGCTTGTTTAGCTCCTATGATTAAGGGTAGCCTGTTAAGGATATGTTTGACCCATTTATACATCCCGATATTGTCCAACCCGATTTGCGTTGAGAGGACGTGTTAAAAGTATTTGTCTCACACTCATATCTTAACACTTAGGTTTAACATGCAATACACCTAAATTTATGATTTACATCAAACGAAATTGTTCCGTGGTAAGAGATTAGAGCTCAAGCCCAACAAGACAATGTAAACTTATTCACATGTACAATGAAAAAGGAAAGAATTATATAAATTATATGAACAAAGAGACAAAGAGTACTTCTCGTCTACTAGCTACTAGAACAAAATTTATATAGCTGAAGCAGCTCCCTTTAATAGTTTTTACAACTTAATCTAATAAATACAGGTTGAAGTTCTCACAAAATGGAATTTCCAAGTAACTTCGAAGCCCTAAATAACTGCAATTGTTCATCTTCAAAGCATGGAGACCTTCAAAAAACCTCAATTCAAGTTGGAATTTATTTATTTATTCTAAAACTGACCTCCGATCGTTTCCCATGGAGACAAGTGTGGCGAGTAAGGAAGAGATGATGAATTCAAAGAAGTCAAACCGGAGAAAGAAGATATCACTTTCGTTGAACGAGGAGCGAATAGAAGACGGCAATACGCTCGGAGACCTTCGCTTTCCGCCGCGTAGGTTCTTATGAGGCTACGGCAGAGAGCAGCCTGCGATATCAACCTACCGAAACTCTTCATTCTTGCCACTTTGAACAGTGCGATCGGATTTGAAGAAGGCTGTGGAAATTTCAAATTGAGGTTCGCAATGGCAATGGCAATTGGCAAATAGGCAGACGTCAGAAACGGCGTTTGAAGATCCCTAAAACATCAACACAAATGGTAAATTAACAAAATGTACCTCATTTTTAATCATAAATATGTGAATTGTTCCATTTATGGCCACATATTAGAGTGTGTAGTAAAAATGAGGGTACATTTTAGGATATCTCTCGCAAAACTCAAACATCAAACGTTTTTTGAGTAAAAATGTGTGAACAGTGATAGTGGGTACAAAATGTTTTTCTTTCTTTAAAAACTGAAACAACCCGACCACATGACCATGTCATGAATCAACCCGAACCCAATCAATCCCAAAACTCGATCAACAATTACATGACTACATAAAAATAATAAATATATGATTATATATTTCGTGCAAAATTATAATAAAATGTAGCTATTATTCATAATAATCAAATAATAATAAGCATGTAAAACACACCCATAATATTTCAGAATACAATTTTGATCCTTTTACAATATATATTGATATTTTTTATATATATTTTACATTTATAATATAACTTGACATGATTATCATTCTTAAATAAATATATAAATATATTACATGTTTTTTCTTTTTTAGGGTACCAAAATTTCAATTTTAAGGGTTTTAAAATTGTAAATAAATAAATAAATAAATAACAAATGCAAATTTTGTTGAAAAATAATCAAAACCGGGTTTTCCGGGTTTCCCAGGTTTCTTTGGATGCGGGCCCGGACTAGGTTTTCCCGCGTTAACTGGATTTTTCTGGGTTTTAGCAACTTTTGGGTTTTTAACTAACCGAACCAGGTTTACGTCTAGGTCACCGAGTTGCAGATTGACCCAGCTGGTCTGAGTCAGTTTTTTAAACATAAGCTCAAACATCGCCTGCATTGTCCTATGTTACTTTTTGTGCGTGTAAATTCTAAAATGTTTCTGATGTTCCTAGTAAAGGCAAATCGCTCTTCCTTGTGTCATGTATGAAATGCGGAAAAAATACTTTTATAACTTTTTAGAAAATGTTAACTTTTAGTAACTAAAAAGTTCTTAAATGAAAAATGTGATAGCTGTTTGGTAAAAATTGATTGTTTGGTTTAGTTCTGTTTGATATTCGAACTGTTGAGACTAAATAATGCTAAAAGCTACAAACTTTTCTCAGATGGTACTATCCGTAGCATTTCAAAAAAATTCTTTTATTTTTAGAAATGCTCTTAAAAAATTCATGCCTAACATCTAACTAGAAGTTTTTAAAAACTTTTTAAATAGTACAAATGCTAGAATACAGAGACTTATGCGTACCAAACATGCACATATAAAACAACTATATAAAGTTTTATCTTTTTAAAACCCCATCCCACATATATTATACTCCTTATTTGGAAAGTATATATACTTGTCCTATCTCATAAAACTTAGTTAAATTGATTTTTTAAATCAAAGACAAACCAGTTTGATTAACTATCTTTTTTAACGAAATTATTTAAAATATAAATAACATAGAAAAATGGCTTTTATTAAATACAATTTCACAAAAGTATAAACGATATAAATTTCACACAAATATAATAACTAAAATCATTGTTCAAAGTTACATTTAATTAATCGGATCGCACCGTCGGGTCAGACCGGCTAGTTCGGTCCAGGACTTGATCGTACAATTACCTCATGAATTGTAAATATATCAAAAAAAGAGAATTTTTCTCAAATAGACTAATAAAAAGTAGAAATAGTATCACTTTTTCACTTTTCAATTTTGTTTTCAATAATAGACTTGCTAAAATTTTCTTTTCACAAATAGACTTTACCTATTAAAACCCCTTACCAAAACAATTGTTCTTTAGAAACGTAGAGCAGGTTTATGAGATGGAAGATTATTTAGCAACGCTACCCTTGCCACGTCAATGAATAAGTAATGATATTATCTCCATTGTTCAATTTTAAAAACATGAAACTAGAAAAAAAAAGTAAAAAATGTAGAAAATCACAATTAAACTGAAAAGAAAAACAATAAATAAATAAATTATATATAATAAATATTTTCAGGAATCTTTAACATATAAAAATAATAAGCAGTTTAACAAGACAGAAAAAGTTTAAAAAATCTAAAATACTCTAGAAATTGAAAATAAATAAATAAAGTAAATCAAAAAATGAAGAACATTATATTATAAAATAAATTAAGACAAAAAATATATAAATTGCCAGAAAAATTCAAAAGATTTAAAAATTTAAGGTAATTCATAAAAGTAATAAATGTACACTTTCTAAATTAAAATTTTCAAAATTACGATAAACGAAATACTGAAAATTTGTAAGAACTGAAAAAATATTAAAGAACATGAATTTTGTGATTTGAAAACATTCTAAGAAAATAAATATATGAGATTTTAAAAAATCAAAAAAAAATTAAAAAAATCAAACAAGATGCCTAGAATAAAAACTAGTAAACTTAGAAAGTGTAAATATTAAAAATGAAAAAACGAAATAAAGAAAAATTGGAAAAATAAAATTACGAAAATGAAAAATTATAAATTGAAAACCTTATACTACGTAATTAAGAATTTCTACATTTTAGTTATTACTAGATTTTCACCCGTGCGATGCACGGAATAAAATTCAATAAAATGTGTCAAATTATTTATTTATTATATTATTATATTAACAGTAACATCAAAATTTCATAAAGTATAATGTATAAATGCATGAAAATAATATATGAGATATTATATACTATGTACATAGTAATAAAGGTCATATTATTAAGAGTGAAAGGTAGTGGCGACAATGTATTTGAACAACGACAAAAAATGAACACTACAATGCTTTCACATGGATTTATACTTTTTCTAAAATGGTTATATTACTTATAAGTCTTGAAATGCAAAAAGAAAATGAAAAATGAATTGAGACTTAACCGATCAATTCCCGTCCCCAAAAATATAAAAATACAGGAAATGATATAAGAAGTGCTTCTACGAAATCCTTATCACTCAATATCTATTACATTTTCATTAGTTTTAATTCTCTATAGTTTAAGAAATGTTAACAAATAAGATTTGGCATATAAATTAAAGAATAAAAAAAGAATATGCTAATCATATGTTTCTTACATCATTAATATAAGACCATAATCATAACAAAATTAAATAATGGCTAAGGTAGTTATATGTCCTTATAAAGATATGAGAATACATAAATGTATGATATTATTAGTACTATCTAGACAAATGTGAAATATTTTTTCCAATTTTATCGGAGGTCCCCAAAGGGAGAGCTGTCTAACAAATATTAATTACAATCGCCTATTTTTATCAAAATCATTATTTTAAAACATTTTCAATTGATATTTTTTCACTTATTTAATTCTTAACTATTAAGAATATACTCTTTCCGTCCCGAAAAGGTTGGCCAAATTTTCTTTTTGGATGTTCCAAAAAGATTTGTCATTTCCATTTAAAGTAAGGAATATGTGGCTAAAATTAATTCCCACTCATCTGGACAAATTTCAACCACACAGTTTTTAATTACTTTATTAATCCACATAAAAGTCAACTTTGGTCAACCTTTTTGGGACGAAGGGAGTACTAAATATATGGAGGAGTAACCCACTCCTCATATTTAGGTAGCCCCGTTTTTTATGAGATGAATTGGTTTTGGCACACCCACTCAAGATACATCATACATGTTTCCTGAGTGAAATGCTTTTGATTACCATCAGCACAAGAAACAAAGACCTGCTTGGATTATAAGGTATAGGGTGGCTCTGACAAACTGACACCATTTGCATTTATCCATAGAGCAATTTTAATACGGAGTAGTCATTGTTTAATTCATTAGTGTGGTCGAGGGAATTGACGGGCAACTTCTACGTTTGGACTCTAGTTTTACATGATGTGAACTATTGATTTGGACAGTTTTGAGCGGGAGTTTGAACATATTCTAACGCTGCTTTGTATATAGAATAGAGTTGTTTATCAATTAAGGAAATAAGGAAGTGTGTCAATCTTTTTGAAACAACCAAAAAAGGAAAGTGTGTCAAAGAAAATGAAACGGAGGTAGTACTAAATAACATATAATGCTATGTATACTTGATCCATGTTTGAACCAAAAGGTTGTATAAGAGAGTGATCAATGAAATATTCAAGAAAATGTATGAATATGTAATCATGGATATAATATTTATTTACTACCTTACCATCTTCCTCGGATTTTCTCCTTGAGGGAGTTTTCCTTTCTAGGATTAAATTCGGTTGTGCTGCTCGGAGGCTGATCAGAGACAGGCTGTTCTGCATTGGAATGGTTGCCAAAGCGCAAAAAGAATCGGGGCTCGGGTTTAAAAGAAAACTACATTTATCAACAAATAGGGAGCACACCAACCAACCATTCCAGCTCACTGGGTGGAAGGTTACCGTGTCCTAGCGGAGGTCTCGGGTTCGAATCCCGCTAGGCACATTTAGGGGAGAGGAGGGAGGTCTTGCTCCCAATGATTCTTCTTACCTTCACGGAGTTGCTCAGCGGCTGAGAAGGGAGAGGATGGTAATGAAGGTAGCGGGTTCGTGTGGTGGGAGGAGCAGCCTGAAAGGTGGTGTAAGTCCTGCTGGATTCGTCCTTTGGAGCCAGTACTGACGAGGCTGACTGTGATCAGATCCGGACCTTAACTGTCTAGGGGCTTTGGAGGGTAGTTCATAGACTCCAGGATTATGGGAGCGTAAGCCCCGACACCTGGATTATCAAAAAAAAAAAATAGGGAGCACACCTTAGAGCTAAAGATGGCTTCATACTATTAGTTGAAAACTTGAAATTAATCAATTGAACATATACTAAGAAGTCTTATAAACTGGTATATGACTATACCTACGTGGTTAACGGTTAACCTATTGATTGGGAAGATCTCTTTTAGTTCAACAAAAGCTAGTGATAGCTCAAAAATAATTTATTGAAACACTTTAACTTTTATACTCCAAAGATCAACAAACAAATATTAATTTTTGAATATGAAACTAACGC